CAACAGTGTCTGGGCCAGCATTTTTGCTCGCAAAACTTTGGATTGAAAAATGCGAATTACAATCACCTCGACCCTGGTTAAATAGAGACTTCTTATTACTTTGGAATATCTCCGGGGTATAGTGCGAATATATTTGAATGCATTCAACTTGTTCGCAAACTGCCCGCTATTGAAGAGATGACCGAGAAGTGAGGTACGAATGCATCTAACTGTTACTTTTTAGAGGGCCGTAGGACAGTGCTTAGCCAATGATGAGGTCGTATGTCAAGCCATCTCAAACCAATCGGACAGAGAATCATTTTCCGACAATTTGTTACAAGTGCAACCATTTTCGAACCAATCCGGTATCCGACTGAATAATTCTAAATGCTTTAAATGCACTTTTAGTCTTTCCCGATCCGAATATCCTCTGGATCCCTCAGTCATCAATTCCATACCCATTACCAGAAGACATACCACGAAATACCTAGTTATCATAGATAGCAATCTACAGTGGTCTTCTCACGTGCTTGCTTGTGTTGGTAGACTGCGGCGCTTATCTTTTCAAATACGCAATCTGCGACAATTTCGCGTCAGGCATGAAACGGTGTGTTCCTTTGTTTATCAATGTATTTTTCCTGCCATACTTTATTGTTCGCCCGTTATTTTTCCTAGTCTACTTGGAAAGGATTTCATTACTCTTCCTCAGGGTTTAATAATTATCAGCCGTGTTTCTCTTATTCCTTTAAACACTCTGATCACAAAATTGTGTAATTTGCATATCACTTCGTGTGAGAATTTTGCTCATAAGATACTCAATGACCCCAGTCATCTGCTCAATCCCGATTTATCTGCTGGTGGCTCCCACGCTACAACCCGATCTAAATTTTGCTGCATGCCCTCCCGCATAAACATATATCGCAACTCAACGGTTCCCTAACTGGCTCTTATTCTTACTGACACGGTGAAGATCCGCAATGAACTAATTTTAAACCCCCAAAGATCATTATTGTATATGAATTTTCATTTCACTTTTTGTCCCATTGTAACAATGAACACATTTTTACTGAAATGTAGACACAGTTATATGCAAAAGTCGTTTATAACACAAT